GATGAGGTCTTGCTATATTACTTAGGCTGGTATTGAACTCTGGGCTCAAGCAACCCTACCGCCTTGGCCTCTGAAAGTGCTGGGATTACAAAGTGTCAGTCATCTCACCTGGCCCTATAACTATGTTTCTGTCCAAAATTCTTGTTAACTCTGTGAAGACAGTTTCAGTTGGAGGAAGCCAGTTTATGTGCACATGTGTTAACTTTCCTTTTTTTTTTGAGTTGGAGTCTCACTCTGACACCCAGACTGGAGTACAGGGGCCGCTCCCGGCAACCGCAGCCTTGACCTACTGGGCTCCGGCGATCCTTCTGCCTCAGCCTTCCAAGGAGCTGGAACTACAGGTGCGCGCTACCATGCCTGGCTAATTTTTGATTTATTATAGAGATGAGGTCTCACCAAGTTGCCCAGGCGGGTCTCAAACCCGCGGGCTCAGGCAATTCACTCACCTCGGCTTCCCAAGGTGCAGGATTACAGGCTGAGCCGCCCACCGAGCCTGGCCTCACATGTGTTAACCTTCAACATATATATATATATTTTTTTGAGGTGGTGTCTCACTCCATTGCCCAGGCTGGAAGCAGTGGCATGCTCCCGGCCACCGCAGCCTCGACCTGCTGGGCTCCAGCAATCCTTCTGCCTCAGCCTTCCAAGTAGCCGGAACTACAGGCGCGCGCTACCACGCCCAGCTAATTTTTTATTTATTGTAGAGACAAGGGCTCGCCAAGTTGCCCAGGTGGGTCTCGAACCCGCAGGCTCAGGCAATCCACTTGCCTCGGCCTCCCCGAGTGCTGGAATTACAGGCTGAGCCACCGAGTCTGCCCCCGCCCCAGTCAAGGTTTCACTCTGTTCAAGCTGGAGTGCAGTGGCAAGATCATGGCTCACTGCAGCCTCCAACTCCTGGACTCAAGTGATCCTTCTGCCTCAGCCTCTTGAGTAGCTGGGACTACAGGTAGCTGCTGTCACACCTGGCTGATTTTTTTTGTAGAGACAAGGTCTCACCATGTGGCCCTGGGCTCAAGCAGTCCTCCCACCTCAGCCTCCCAAAGTGTTGGGATTACAGGCTTGAGCCACTGTGCGGGGCCTGGACCCTTGCCCATTCTCCTGAAGAGGGTGATGGAGGAGTGAGCCCAGTTCTCCTGGGCTTCGCTTTCCTTAATCCAATAAGGGAGCTAAGCCCTGTTTCTCAAACTGTGCGTGTCCCCCTGCTCCCGCAAAGTGGAGAACTGGTGATCAGCGACCTTCACCCAAACTGGTGTCTTCCCCAGAAGGCCTGGGGCAGAGCCCCAGCTCTGTGTGCTATTTCACTGCATGCATGTGGTCTCTCTGGGTTAAGGGGCCAGAGCAACCCATGTCTCTGAGGAGAAGAAATATGATGCAGACAGGGCTCAGAACCACTGGCTGGGACCACCTAGGGGCCGACCCCAGCCCTGGTGCTGGGCAGGCACTCGAAGGACTCTGACCTGCCTCATCTCCTCTCCTCTCCCGGCTCTGCCCCCCGGGTGGCCACCTTTCCCTCCTGCAGGCCACCAGATGCACCCTCCTTCCCACTGTGTGAGGAGGGCCCCTCTCCCCACCCACACACAGAGCCTCCACAGCCCATCACGTCCTCCTGTGTCCTCCAGCACTGCCCGTGACCTGCTCTGGGCAGTCATTCTGCCACCTTGTGCTTGAACCTGCTTCTCTGCAGAGGTGGTAGCTTATCGATTATTTATGGCCAAGTTTCCATTTCTGCCTGGCGGGTGTGGAGGTTTGGGATGTAGCCCTTAGCAATGCCCGGCCCCCCACCCGATCTGGGCGGTCCTGTCCTACCTCCTGTCCCTGTATGCTCCCTGTGACTAGGACCTGTTGTGTCACTCACTGCCTCCCCCACACAACCTGCACGTGGACCAGAGGCGGCTTTGGCCCTACTGCTGTTGAGGCAGAGGGAGAGTTCACACTGAATTTCCAGGGGCCTCACTGGGGCGGTGTGACCCGCCATGGATGTCTGGAAGCCTCCAGAGGGTCCCAGGGTTAGAGGCCTGAGGCTGAGAGAGATCAACAAGAGACTGAGGCCTGGGTTTCTGTAGTGACAGGGCAAGGGGTGCTGCCAGGCCTGGGGTTGGACCGCTTTGGGAGAGCTGTTGGCCTGAGGCCAGGAGGGCGATCTGTCCTGCCCACCTCTGAGGGCTGCACACCTACTGAGGTGGGCGCTTCACCTGTCTACTCCTCCCACGTTCAGTGTCCAGGGTGGGCACGAGCACACAGGGGCCTGGCAGACAACCAGAAGAGACAAAGGAGGCAGTGAAAGTCCCTCCTGAGGGCGGCTTCGAGCGCTGTCCCAGGTCTCCACTCTGAATCCTTCTGCAGGGCCCATGTGGGGACCCAGGCCTCTGAGGCCTCCAGGATGGAGGACGCAACGGGTGTCGTGTGCGGCCTTGTCGTCGAGCTCTCCAACCTGAAGTAAGGGCTGGGCCGGGTCAGGCCCACAGGAAGCCGTGGGGAGGGCCCGGTGGGGTGGGGGAGAGTGAGGCATGAGCTGTCCCAGTAGGCAGCAGGGCCCGTGCTGTGTCCTCCCCCTTCTGGGGAGGGACGGGACAGCCCAGCCTGCACTGCACAGGTGGCCTCTTCCTATGCATGATGTGTGTGTGCCTGTGTCCCCACAGCCGGCTGATCATGAGCACCCACCGTGACCTGGAAGCCTTCAAGCGCCTCAGCTACCGCAAGGCAAAGCCAGCGGGGAAGGGCCCCGCGCCCCACCCTCCCAAGGGCACAGGGACTGTCCCTCGAGGGGAGCAGCCCTGGAGGGGCTTGTAGGCTTCTCCCCCAAGGACCTGGGGAGTGAGGCCTGTGTGTGCACAAGTATATCCTCTGCACTCCAACCCCCATGGCCACCAGCCCCCATGTCGTTTCCCCTCCAAGGGGTCTTAGTGAGCCCCAGAAACCTCCCTTCAGCTGGCCACGCAGTCCGCCTCCTATGGGCCTCATGCAGAAGGTCCCAGGTCCACAGCCTCCCTGGAGTCAGGTAGGGATCCCTGGAGGGATCCTGCAGCTTCCGGGAGGCCGGTTTCCTGCAAACAGGGCCCATCGTATCTGGATTTGCAAATTTAGGCTCCTTGGCTAGGGTTATGGAAGGTTCAGAATCTTTTTTCCCAGGAGGGAAGGGCTCCTTTTGTTGGTTGTTTTTCTCTGGTTTCTATTTCTTATGGGAAGAGCAGTAATAAATGACTGTTATGAGGCCCCGTGACCCACTGCTCTGAGGCTTTGGTCCACATTCTGCCCTGTACAAACCTCCCCTCAGCCTCCCTGGAAAGACTGATGGGGCCGGTGGCTGCGTGTGCATACACATCTAGGTCACTGTAGGGTGCATGCCTGCTGAGATGTGGGTGGCCACACTGCTGGACAGTTAAGTCCAGCACTCAGATGGCCTGGCCTTGCTCATGGGTCACACTCCTTCCAGGTCCCAGCCATGAGGCAGCATCCGGGGAAACTGCCGTGGATGCAGGCAACAGCCAGGTGCTGCTGTCACCCCAGTCTACAGAATACGACCTCTCTGACGTTGGCCACACACCTGCAGCGTCAGGAGTCACACTGCTTGTGGCTCTCACACAGGAGGGGAGGGAGGACCACTTGTGCTGGCTGGACTCGCGGTGTCTCGGGTCTCTGCCCCAGCTGCTCTGGCCTGTGAAGTTCGCAGTTGGCTAGGGGATGGGGCACTGAAACCGACGCCATCACAGATGCTCACTCGGGCACCGGCATCCCTTCTCCTCCCCCCAAGCCCAGGGCCTCAGGTCCCAGATCAAGTCGGAAAACCAAGGGCAGAGGGGACCCTCAAGGGCCGACCCCTAAGGAGACTATGTGGGCAGCAGCCAACCAGGGTTGCCACCTGCTCACTGGAGGTGGAGAAAGTTGTGGGGACCCCCCCAGGGGACTGAGTCTCAGCCCCTTCCACCCCCACTCAAGCTGCTCAGGCTCTGGCCACCTGTTCCGTAGTCCCATCTCCCACCTCCACGAGTCCTTTCCTCTCAACTGGCAGGTCACCAGGCGTCAGTCTGTCCGTAGTAACATAACCGTCCATCTTCCTAGTGGTGGAGATGGCGGGCACATCTCTGTCCCTCGGATCCCCTTCACACCAAGCCCCACTCCATGCAGGGCCAGACGAGTGTGAGTCAGGAGTCAGGCCATCTTGTAAACATGTCACAGAAAGGGCTGGTGCTGCCCCGTGGTCAGTGGCGCTCACAGCTGCAGGGCTGGGTGGTCCCTCAGGACCTGGCAGCCACCCCGCGGCACCCACTCGTTTCTTGGCACCAAGCAGGTCGCCCCGTCCCCAGGGATTAAGCGGGGGGGCTGGCACCGTTCACGCCACCTTGTCCCCAACACCAGGCCTCGTCTGACACGGGTCCACTCATAAGCATTTATTGAGCGCCGACGGGTGCCCGGCGCTGGGGAAGCCACGGCCCGGCGGGGGCGGGGGCGGGGCCTGAGGACCGGCTCCTTCCTCGCAGCGGCCGTCTCGCCCGACAGCGCCCCGGCCGGGAAGGGGCCTGGCGGTCCGCGGAGGGCGCGTCTTCCCCGTCGAGCGCGGGCCCTCCTAGGTGGAGGCGGAGGGAGAGCCGGTGGAGGGCGCGGGCTCGGGACACTTCGCGGCACCCTTGGGACCTGGGCGGAGAAGGGGCGGGGGA